TGGAAGTACTGTATGTAATGAACCAATTAATAATAAAAAGAATGAAAGTTATTAAAATACTTTTAGATATCAAAAAATGAGATGAATATCGTTGTAAAAAAGAATAGAGTCTATATTCTTATAACAAATATCTTTTTCAAAAAAATAAATTGATTTAATTCTATATTTGACACAAAATTCTTACTCCATAAGTTAAATACATAGAATTAACTCTATTATCTAAACACTACACTTTTCCTTTTATGAATTATATTGATAACTTAAATTAGGTTTAAATAACCATAATTGTTTCAATTTACCTCAATTTTTTTTTTGGAAATGACACTATTATTAATGATTGATATTTCTTTTTTTAATAAAACTGTTTTTTTGAATTTAAGATGGATATGATATTGGTTATTTTATAAAACTTACAAATTAATTTTCATTGTAGAAGGTTAAAAATTTAATATATCAAGAATTTAATGAGTTAATATTAAAAACTATTAGAATAAAAAAAATGTAATAGTAAAATAGTAAAACACTTGAGTTAGTTTTAATAATTCAATAAAAAAAAGAACAAATAAAAATGAATATAAATTTTGTGAAAATAATAATTTTTATACAAAATATAATTGTTTGTATAACATATGAAAGGAAAATAACGACTTAAAATTAAAAAATAGAAACAAATTCCATTTTACCAAAAAAAAAGAACATAATATTCTTTTAATAACATCATCAAAAATATTGAACGTAATAATTAGCAATGAGAAAACACAGTTTGTTGAAAATTAAACAGAGTGTTATACAAAGAGATATATTTTAAATGATTTATCTACAACCTTCACAAGGATTTAATACACAATGGTTAATTCTATCATAAAATTGTTGAATATAATTTTGGATGTCGTCCATAGATATTATATTCCATAAATATTCAACAAAACTAATTAACTCTTCTTCATTTCTAAATTGTCTATTCTTAACTTCGACTTGTATTTTACTGAACAAGTCATTTAAAGGATTTAAATCAGAACTATCATGAGGAAAGAATTCTAAAAAAGGAAAAATTTCTCCTTTTAACATCCTTTCGTCAAGAAATACATGTGGACCAAATTTTTCTAAAACTTCATCAGAAATACCATAATTTTTTAATGCTTCTCCAAGTAACATATCACCTTTAATGTTAATTAAAGGTGATTTCCATCCATTAGCTATAGCTCCCCATACTGTTATTTCTAATAATTTTCCTTTAGCAGTAAAAGCAGTAAACACAGGCATTTCTCCTTTATTACAACGAGTTAAAACACCATTTTCTCCAACTCCTATTATAGCAGTTGAACTTAAAACAATTGGTCTATTTAATTCAAGAATTTTTGCTGCAAATTCTTTTCTTTCATCTTCATCTTTTTGTGTAAACCTTCCAATAAAAACACCATTTTCAAATTCACCATAATGAGAAGTTCTTCCTGAACTTGGTGTTTCAAGTTCATTACTTCCTTTATGTAATTTTTGTCTTATAACACGAACAGTTTCTTTTGAAAGTGAAACATCAGGGAATTTCTTTTTAATTTCAGCAGCAATTTTACTACAAGAAATGTCTTTATTATCAGAAAATTGTGCAATAAATTCTTCAATTTCATCTGTTAATTTTGGTTTTCTTCCTCTTTTTCTTGACAATTGATGGTCATTTCCATAACATTTTAGAAAACATCGTACTGTAGATGGACTTCTACCTAATTTCTTAGCAATGGCATATACTGAAGATCCATTTTGCTCTTTTTCATTTATTATTTGTAATTTGATGTCATCCGTTAATGGTCGTCTTGGTGAAATCATAAAAAATTTTGATTTTAGATTTTCAAAAAGGGTTCTCAAATGATGCTCTTTTTGGCATTATTTACTTCTCCTTTTTTTTCCTTCTAATTCTTTTTTTCCTCTAATTTTTCAGGATTTTCTTCTAATTTTTATTAATTTATTTTTTATTTTTTTTTATGTAGATTAGTCAAATTCTTAGATTGAGATTTTATTGTCAATTTATCATATTCCATTGTATTTCTTAAATTTAACGGGAAATTTTGTTCAAAAAATATCAGTATTATTTTGGAAAATAAAAAAGATTTGTCTTAAAAAAGCTTCTTCGAATGATTTCAATTATAGCTTAAACTAAAATTTGGAAAAAAACTCAAGTTACTTTAAAAAGCAATGGAAATGAAGATTAACAAAAGATTTTTATTACAAAAAAAAATTTTTTTTTTAAAAAGTAATAAATAACACAAATAAAAAAAAAAGAAAAAATTAAAAAAGAGAAGAAAAAGAACTTTAATTTCAAAAACAAAAAAAGAAGATAAGAAAAAGAATGACAACACAACCTATTCAAGAGATTTCGAATCAGTTTTTAAGTGGATATGTGATATGTGTTAGTGGATATTCTGTTTGTTATTTTTATTAATTATTTTATTAATTTAAACAGTTAATTATAATAACACAAAACATAGACAGATGAACGAGTGTTATTAGGAGGAATGATTGAACAATTTGGAGGAATTTATATGGAAGATATGGAAAGTCGGTCAGTTTCTTTTCTTTTGTCAAAAGGATTAACAAGTGATAAAGCAAGACATGCAAAACGGTGGGGAGTACCAGTTTTAAATCATCAATGGCTATTTGATTGTATTGTTGAACGAAGATTTGTTTCAATAAATAATTACATATTAAGTCTTAGTATGTAATTTTGTTTATAATTCATTTGGCAATCTTGTCAACGTAGTTTTACGTTGGTCTTAGTAATCAAAACAAGAAAATTAATATATTAGTTTTTAATAGTTTCAAAAAGTAATAAATAATAGTTACTTATAAAAAAAAGGAACTTATAAAACCAATTGATGAATTCTTTGTCATCTAAAACCATAAATCAACAATTCTTTAATGGATATATTATATCATTGAGTGGATTCTCTGTTCAAGAAAAATTAATTATGAAAGGAATGATTGAAGAGTGTGGAGGAATGTGTACTGATGATATGAATAGTTCTACAATTACATTCCTCATTGCAAAAGCATTATCAAGTGAAAAAGCAAGATGTGCATTAAGGTGGGGAGTACCAGTTCTTAATTTTCAATGGTTATTTGATTGTTTAAAAGAAGGTAGAGTAATATCTATTAACAAATATGTTTTAAATACTTTTAGTTATTAAGAATTTATACATTTGAAGCCATTTTGTTTTTGTTAGTTTAAGTTATAATTTTTAAAAAATTTTGAGAGAAAAAAAATTAAAAAAAAAATTAAAAAAAAGAAAAAAAAAAATAAAGAAATTAATTTAAATGAGTGAATTGTATATTACACAACCTACTCTTGAATATTTTGATAGAGAATCAGGTTTTACTCCAGAACAAATGATTCAAAAAATATCAACATCAACAACACTTTATGTAGGAAATGTTAGTCATTCTATGAATGATAAAAGAGTATATACATTATTTGGAAGATTTGGAAATATTAACCGAGTTATTATGGGCGTTAATCATTCAAATGAACCATGTGGTTTTTGTTTTGTAGAATTTAATAAAAGAAATGATGCAGCATTAGCAATGAAAGCATTAGATAGAACACAAGTATTTGGACAATATATTAGAATTGATTGGGATTATGGTTTTGTTGAAGGAAGACAATATGGAAGAGGAGATGGTGGTGAACAAAAACAAACTCAACGTAAAAGAAAATTTTATAATCATTCTGATAATTATAGAAATGAAAGAAGATTTGAATTTCATGAAGATACTAGAAGAAATGATTATGATGATACATGTGATTCTAGAAGAAGATATGTTGATGAAGAAGATCAATTACCTTCACGTAGAGGAGATAGAAGATATTAAGTAAATTTAGTTTTTTTTTTTAATAAATTTATAATTAAATAAATTATTCAATATAATTTAATATTTTTCAGTTCCAAATAATAAAATTTGTAAATTTTTAGAAGAAAAATCTTTAAAAGAATGATAAATTCCTAATGATTGAAGTTCTATTACTTTTGACTGATAATTAATTGCAATAATTAAATTAACATGAGTTGCATATGCAGCTTTTAAACCTGTCAAAGAATCTTCAAAAATAACAGTATTTTGAGATGATGCATTAATTTTATTCATTGCTTTAATAAATAATTCAGGACTTGGTTTAGGTAAACATGAATTATCATAAAGAATAATTTGGTCCATAGTAAACCATCTTTCAAGATGTAAATATTTAAAATATAATTTCATAGTATTTGTTGAAGCCATAGAAGCAATAATATAATGATATTTATTTGAATTATTTTTTAAATAATTTAATAATTGTTCTGCTCCTTTTTGTAATGAAACTCCTTTTTTTAAAATTGTTTTTAAAAATTTCTTTTTATCATTTAAAATATCTGATATTATTTTTGTATTATTTGTTTTCATTATATCAATTATCGTTTGTTTACTTGATTTTCCAATATGTTCTTTTAAATAACTTTCTTTTGTTAAATAAATTCCTCTTTTTTCAAATGAATATTTCCATACTAAATAATTTATGTTTGTATCATCAAATAATGTTCCATTAAAATCAAATATAAAATTTATTATTTGACTCATTAAATATTATTATTTATTTATTCTTTCTTTTTTACTTAGTTTCTTTTTATTTTTTGTTATTATTTATAAAAGATAGAACTATAAAATTATGTTATTGACTTAATGGAAAAGAATATTAGTTCTATGAAATTTTGTGTTTATTTATTAACTTCTATTAATCCTGGTTTTAAATATCATACTTATATTGGAAAAACAACTTGTCCTCCAAGAAGAATTAAACAACATAATGGAATTATTAGTGGTGGTGCTTTCAAAACTGAAGCTAAACGTCCTTGGGAAATGGTAATTGTTGTTCATTCATTTCCAACTCAAACAAAAGTTTTACAATTTGAATGGGATTGGCAACACCCAGAAAAAGGTAGAAGAGTAAGACAAGCATTTGATAATATGAAAGGAAAACATTGTGGAACTATGTTTTCATTACAATATAAAATTAGATTACTAGCAGAGATTCTTCAAATGCCTTCATATTGTAAATTACCATTATCTGTTTATATTACAACTCATCGTTATGATAATTTTTTAAATGATTGTCCTCCTTTACCAAAACAAATAACTGTTGAATATGGAGATTTAAATGATATAATGAAATGTGTTGGTATCGCTAGAATAGACAGAAAAGAAAAAACGAAAATAAAACATGATAATATTTTTGATAACCTTCATGGTACTTCTCAATCTCAATTATCTCAATTAATAGAAGATTTTCATCTTGATGATAAAACATCACAAGAAGTTACGTTGACTGAAGAACAAAAAAAAATTCAAATGCAAAAAGAATTAAAAGAAATACAAAATACTTCATCTAATTGTTTTATTTGTCATCAACGTATTAAATTAGACCAACGAATTGTTAAATGTTTGTATAAATGTGGAATGAAAGCACATCTCTGTTGTCTTGGAAAAATGTTTAGTGAAAATACTCATACATTAATACCAACAACAGGAAATTGTCCTAAATGTCAGAGGGAAATAAGATGGGGAGATATTATTAAGGTATTAAAGAATAAAACTATTGAATCTTTTTAAAATATTTGTATAAAAATATAAAACTTTAAAAATGAAGAATGACAAATGTGTTTTTCTTTTTGAATTTAAATAACACCACATGCTTTTCTTTGTGGTTTGTTTTTCTTCACATTATATGAATGTTTGAAAGTATTACCAATATTAGAAACAGTAAAAGATGAACTTTTTGGTTGGTAATGGACAATTATTTCACTACCAACAATTACAATTTTATCAAATTTATCAGTAACTGCAGCATTACAGTCTTCAGTTAGATAAATCTTCTTTGAATATTTATTCATTAAAGAAACGGCAGGTTCAGTTGGATGTTTATAAAGATTACCATGACCACATGAAATTAATGAAACTGTTGGTTTAAGAACTCCTAACCATTCAGCATTATTAGAATGTTCTGATCCATGATGATTAGCCTTATATAAATCTACTTCTCCAACAACATCTTTATATGAAGACTCTATATTATGATAAAGATAACCAAATCTAGAGCCACTGTCTTGTCCATCTAAATCACCAGAAGTAGAATAAACAAAATCTCCCAATTGAATTCTTAAAGAAATGGAATAATCGTTTTCACTTGGAATATTCTTTTGGTCATGATAATCAGCAGCTAATGGC